GGGTATGCGCCAGTACCCTCTATGACGCTCCCACAAGGAGAAAATCAGACACATCCCTGGAAGGGCACACCACCCAAAAACTATTACAGAAGAACACAAAACAAGTGCAGGGTCTAACACCCAAAACAAAACAAAAGCCACACAAAGCTCGGTATGTGAAGAATGTGCTGACCCCACCGTGCCTCACCACACCTGCATATCTGCCATCTCTGAATCTCCCAAAACGGCTTCATCTGTTGTCCTAGAAAAGAGCCTCCTCTTCTCTGGCGGGTGGGGCTGAAGCCCCTCGGCCTCAGACCCCCGGGCGCTCTTGCTCCAGGAACTTCCCTTTCTCCCTTGAGGTGAGTCCTGCTCCACGCCTGACCAGCCCTGCTCTTAGCAATACCTGGCTGTCTAGACGGGGTTCGGGACATACGCGCCTCGAATAAGGAAGGACTACTGTGTAAGCGTGAGGGATAGGGCCTTTGTTTGACCAGGCACAGAGAAGCAATGCACATGCTGGGCGTTGGGTCCTTCATTGTTATTGTCACCACCCCATCCCTCTCCTCGTGTAATGTGGGGCGGGGGGTGGGGGCAGGCCTGAGGAATAGGGACAGGGTGGACCCCTCCTAAGATTGGCCCCTAGCACATAGCGTCATACTCTTAGTAAATCACCTTATAGGGGATATATTTGTTATTACTAGACTCTCAGAATATCCCTAGATCCATGCAGTTTAAACTCTCAGCCTCAGTCAGCCTGGCCCCCCTCCCCGCAGCCCGTCCAGCTTGCATTGCAGGGCTCCTCTGTGTCTAAGCGGAAGAGAAGGAGGCTGGCGAAGAGCCCGAGTTCCCAATGGCAATCACAAAACATCCTTCATGGGTCATCTCACAAGGGACCTGCGGGGCTACGAGACTCCCACCCCCACCCCTTCCCCCCATCCTTCCTACCCGGCCCATGGTCTTGGACTCAAAGTCTCTCTTCTACCCAGGGTGTTAGGCTCGCTCCCTCACCTCCTGTCACCCCTGCCCAACCCCTTTTACCCAGGCGGAGAAATCAGAAAGTCCGTTCTGTCCGAGGGAAACCAGCCTATAGCCTGTCATTTCTAAGACACGGCCATGATAAGACCAACGAGGACTCCAGAGCCTGCGGCACCCCTCAGACCCTCAGCCCCTCAGCCCGTCAGCCCCTCAGCCATTGCTAACGGGAGGGCTTACCCAGGTACACCTGCCACTATCCCCAAATCAAGGGTGGAAGCTGCCAGGAAGCCCTCCTGAACTTCTTCCCTCCCTACCAGGGCCTGCAGCCTGTGCAGTGTCTATGAGGTTCGAAAGAGGCCAGGCAGTGAGCACCGTCTACGTGCAGAAAAAGTCCTCGTTCTCTCAGCCTCCATTCGGCCCCAGCAGCATAGGCACAGGCACCCACGGGCCTCCAGAGTAACCCCTTTAACACCCCCAAGACAGGACGAGGTCATAGCATGGATCTCCAGCCCTCTGGTAATCCTCTCCTCCGCAGAGGGAGGAAGGAGAACAACCAGCCACCTGCAGCCCTGCCCAAGGCCCCCCTGTCAAGACCACCCAGGAGAGCCAGGCTACCAGGCCTTACTCACCTGCCACAGCGTTAGTGGAAGCCCAGAGCCAGGGAGCCAGCAGCAGAAACCAGATAGCCAGCATCTCCCAGGGAGTGGGACGTTGGCTGTAGAGTCTTCCCTCGTCAGGAGGGAACAAGAAATGAGCACCTCCCTGGGAGAGATCAGCTCTAAAAAGGACCCTGGGGACCTTTGCCTTAGGGAAGACCGGCACCTAGCCTAGGGTGGAAGTAAGGTGATGATGGCAGTGAGTGGGTGGTACAGGATGACCACAGGGAATTGGCCAAGGTGTATCCTGTCAATCTTCCTCCCTCTCACTATTGGAGGGCTGACCGCCCTGAGTCAGGGTCTCTTCAGTGGAAGCCCGACTCACGGGGAGGGCAGGGCAAGAGGGAGGGACAGGAGGCTGTAGGTGAGAGGTTGCGAAGGGGCAGGGGCCAAGAAATGTCAGGGGGGAGGGATTTCAGATCCCAAGAGAGGCAGCCAGCAACAGACCAGGCTGTGTGAAGGACCCTCTGCCCCTGTCTTCCAGGTTCCTTCCCGATCAGTCACCTCAAGCTGTCCCCTTCCAGATTTCCAGTGCCTCCCACCATCCCCTCAACCACCAGTCCTTCTCCTGGGTAGGGTATTCATGCACACCTGAGACTTTACATTCCTGGTTTCCAGCCCAGACTGGACAGAGGTGAGAAAAGGCTCTGGTTTATCCCTACCCTGAGGCCTCTCCTGAACCCCTGAGCTTAGAGCCAAGGCGACTAATTATCCCCTACAATCCTCAGCCCACTTAGGCTGGCCGGACTGCCCATGACATCGGGAACAG